AGCTGTTTGATGGCAAACTAGGCAGATACCCACATGAAAAGATCCACATCGATCTAGAGGATGATGCAGAACCAGTTTATATAAGACCATACCCAATTCCCTACAGACACGAGGATGTTTTCAAAAGGGAATGCCAGCATCTTGTTGATGAAGGAGTCATTGCACCCACTGGCAACTCGGAATGGGGCTTCCCAGCCTTTATCATTCCCAAAAAGGATGGACGAGTCAGATGGCTTGTCGATCTCAGAGAACTGAACAAAAGGATCAAGAGACCTCAGTTCAATCTCCCTAAGATACAAGACATCATGAACCGAAGAACATGGTATGATCACTTCACAAAAATTGATCTCTCTATGATGTTCTATTGCTTTGAATTGGATGAAGAGAGCCAAAAGATTTGCACTCTCACTACAACCCATGGCAATTACAGATGYTTACGACTACCAATGGGACTTAAATCATCTCCAGATTATGCACAGGCCTTCATCACAAAGATCCTATCTGGCTTGGATGTTGAGGTCTACATCGATGATATGGGAATTTGGTCCCGAGGACCATTCAACAAACACCTTTCATTGGTTGACCCAGTCTTGAAACAATTGGCTTGCAATGGGATGAAATGCAACCCACTCAAGTGTGAGTGGGCAGTGAAAGAATCTGACTTCCTTGGCTATTGGCTCACTCCCACAGGAGTCAAGCCATGGCAAAAGAAAGTAGACGGGATCCTCAAGATGGGAATTCCACAAAACCAATCACAGGTCAGGTCTTTCCTGGGTGCAGTGAACTACTACAAATCCATGTKGCCRCGCCGATCACATGTTTTGGCCCCATTGACTGCACTCACAGGCTCAGGACCCTATGTGTGGACGCCAGCATGTAATCAGGCATTTCAAGAGATGAAATCTCTTCTTGCTCATGATGCGATTAACACCTTTGCTGATCTGAATATGCCGTTCCATATTTACACTGATGCATCTGATTATCAATTGGGTGCAGCAATACTCCAAAATAACAAACCGATTGCATA